TAAATGTCCAATCCAAGGAAGTTGGATTAACCTAACCACTCCTTTACCAGGAATTGAAGCATGACTTTGATTTGAGTGTTGAAATTTTTAGAAAACTTGACCTGAATATAGACAACTTATGTTTGTTGTTGTGATAGCAATTTGGAAAAACTTACATCAAGTGTATCAAAGGACTCTTGGATGACTCTCTCAACAAAATCCCATAACAGATTCTGTAAAGACAATGCAATTATTCTTTGCAGGTCAACAAATTTATATGATATACATAAATTGCTCGTTATCATTTGCAGACATGCACTTACAATGCAAGTATTTTATTAAAAAGAAATGCACATAAATTGATATGCAGGCACAAAGAGCAATCAACAATTTTCTGGGTTATTCTTTAAACTAATCAATTATAGATGAGAAAAAAAAGTTAAAAAAGTCATACCTCAAGTTGAGTACCATTAAAAGTGCCAAATAGTTTTGGAATAACATCATCAGCTTGAACAATGTTAAAGAAACAATCCTTTGCTCCGGGTATTGACTCCACATATTGTGTTAAATTACTGTCACCCACAGGCAATAAGCCAAATGTGAGACATTTAAAATGAGATTTTAAATATGATTCATCTTGCTGTTTGAATTCTTCCAGTAAAAAAATCAATACTAAAGATGCAATTGCTCCACCACTGGAATGTCCTATAAATGACAGAATAAAAAAACATTTGCACATAATTTTAAAAAAGCCAAGATTAGCAGTAACCCCCTAGTTCAATGGTAAAAACAAAAGCTCAAACTCCAATAAAAAGCAGGATATGGAGTTTAGAAAGCCATTGTCCACTAGGCATAGTTGGACTTGCTAAATTTACAAGAGTTTGGGGTTTTTGGACCCAAAAGAAATAAAGCAGAATGAATAATAGCTTGATGCAAAGATTACATAAAGTACAATAAAAGTGGGAAACAACTGTGGGAAAATGGCAAAGCATAGTTATTGATACAAAGTGATGTAAAGTATATGGTTTAAATGAATGCAAGGATACTGAGTTCAAATGTAAAAATGAAGAAAAGGAGAGGGAAAAGACAATGAATTTTAAAAAATCTGAATTACAATATGCCGAAACAGGCAGTCCCAGTATGCTACAAATTCTTTGGAAGTAAGAAAAACGATCAGATACTAATCAAGAAGTCTTAAAAACTAGAGATTTAAGAAAGAAATGGAAAAATACTAAGAATTTTTTAGCAAAAATTGGATTAGAATGGTGAGAACAAGGATGTTAGGTGTCTGCTATAAAAAAGCAGACACCTAAAAACAGGAGAATTCAGTTAAAACTGAAAAGCAAATGACAGTATATACATGTTATTAGGATGTAAATATTAGTAAGAATAAAGCATACATCAAGACATGACAAAGCTTTTCAAATATTGGTAGAGCTGGGTTTATAATCATCATCAATTACAATTAATTAAGAAAATAATGATCATTGATGATTCAGGTAATGGATGGGCTTTGCAAAAACATAAAGTAATAGAATAATGATAGTTAGTGTATTGTGATAGCTATCAACTATAAATAGGTCATACTAAGCCAAACCTGTAGAGAATCTGATCAAATCGACAAGAAATGATTTATGTGGTTGGTGTGTCCGTGCAACTAATAAAAGTTATTTTGAACTTTAAATCTCACAATTTACCTGAAAAAATGATACGTTTCTTCTGAAAAAATGCCCTGACAAAATACTTCAAAGGGATTTTCTCAGCTTCTTTTTTCACATCTTAAAACATGTTTTTTAAGAAAAATTTTTTCAAAATTTCTCTAGATTATTACAAGTACATTATATAGACAAGATTTAATGTATTGATCAAAATCAGCAGCAACCATTAGGCAAGTTAGATAAATAACAACGTCAGGGACGAAACTAGAAAGGTTTGTTATGTTTTTCATCAAATCACTCATCTGATTACACTTAGCATTGCTCATACAGAAAATATTTAGTTTTTACTGGGTACGAGGCTGCTGCAGGTGTACATGAGACAAAGTCATTGGGATTTTTATTCAAATCTTCTTTTTTTACCATAATTTCTAATTAGCAGCAATTTTAAAAAACACTTGAGAAAAACGACGATTTTTTTGAGAGCAAACATGTTTCGACATTATCAGAATTATTCTTTTTTTCTTTTTCATGCAATGAAACATGACACTTTGCGTTTGAAATTTCAAAACCATTTCTAGACACTCACTTCACTTTGCAAAACATCATACTTTGAAATCTGAAGGCAAATTTTCATGAATACTTCACTCTCAAAGTTATGACCGATCAATTGGCCGAGGCAAATACACTATACCTTTGTGATGAGTTCCTTACGCAAAATATTCTTCAGAATTAGTAATAACTTTAAAAAGGAGTAGTATATAGACTTGAAACTTACTCGAATTGATTTCTCCTCGATGCGTGGTATTCATACCAGTTGGTCTATACGACCGTAGTCCCTTGAAGCTGACATAGATAACATCACCACACTCCGCCATCACATATTTAGGAACGTCCTCGTTTTCATAAGAAACATAAACATTGCTAAGTAAATGTTCTTTGTCCAACTCTTCCAGGTCGTTCATTCTGTATTCGGGGTCATTGCAATTGTATGCAAGTTGGCAACATAGTAGGGTATGATGAATGTGGATAGGATCAAACAGCTCTTTTTCAGAAATCATGACTTCGAGGTCAGATTGAGGTTTAGGTTCTTCTTTGCATGTTTTCTCAAGAGTCTTCTTCAAAGCTGAAATCTTTTTATTGAGCTCATCCTTGATTTCGTTGCTAGAAAACTTGAATAATTCATCGCCAAGAAGAGATTCGTCAAGTTTATTGAACAAATACCCAAGAAACATGTCGCATATACTCCCTTCAACATGCGTTGCGGCTTCGGCATGATTGGATGCGAGAGAATCTCTTATATTTTGCTTGAAGGACACCGCTAAATTCATGACCTTTTCATGAAGCTCGATTTCTTCACGCCAAATCAGCCCAAATTCGTTTTCTTTGATTTTTTGCAATGGCTTTTCAAGCTTTGTCATTGCTTCGTTGAAGATATTTTCGAATATCTCCAAAACAACTGGACTTATCTCTGTTGGATCAGAGCTAGAATCCAAGTCACAATCACTATTTTGATCCATTGTTGTTGTTAAAGAATCCAATTATCAAACGCTATTAAAAGATCTTTCTCCAGTCTTTTTCTTTTGTTGCGAAGTATCTTCTACGATTTGCTGTTTGCAATCAACGAGCAATATACAACAGATTCCAGTCTATTAAAACACAGTACACGTAAGCATAAACACCACAGAATAGATACATACAGAAGCGCCACTCGATGTCGGAACCTTTGATGTTCGTGTCCCCAGCATCCGGGAACTTTACACGGCGGCCATGTTTCCAGCCAGATAAATGCAGTGAACTCGACATTTGAATATATATATATATATATATAAGTTTGAAAATTTGTAATCCAGGCATTGAATATATAAAAGATCAAAAAATCCGGAGAAACGTTTTATCTTTTATATATATATACTTTGATATACACTTTGTATATTACGCTCACTGCGCGTGCGTAGTTTGAGCACTGTCGGATTGTGTAGAGAGTCTCATATGGAGACGTTCACCGTGTTCGCGATATGCAAAGCTCACCTTTATAGGTTTGAGCACTGTGGTGACTCTACAATACAATCCATGCAATGTGTAACCGTACGTCCTGTGTCCCAAGTGCAGGAGTCACCGTTTTAAAGCGGTGATAGCCGGGAGGGCACATTGTATATACACTTTGTATATATATATATATATATAAAAGATAAAACGTTTCTCCGGATATTCAATGCCTGGATTACAAATTTTCAAACTTATATATATATATATATATATGGAGTTTACTGGATAAATGCAGCCAGATCGCAATGTAATTTATAGTTCTACGGATGGGTTTTGGCAAATAAACCCAAATATTTCTATAGATTGGCCATTTTTTTGATATTTTTTGTGTGGATACAGTTAACACATCAAGCTCTGAACAATTTATCATTAATTCGACGTCCGTTTTGATAAATGAGGGTTTATTCGGAATATTTACAAAGTAGATATGTATCTGACGAGAGATGCGTACTCGGTATATGGTTTGTCGTCAGTTTTAATTTTATCATATAAGAATTCTGCAGAGTATTGAAGATATTTGTTCTAACATTTGAAATCTCGGTCGTGGCTGAAACAAGTGACAAATCAAATTATCCTCCAGTTAGTTTATATATTGCAAACAACGTTTGGCAGGACATTCGAATCACCAAAATTGTCTACCCAGGTGTTTTAAACTATCAGAAGCGAAGCTGCATGGCCACTATGAAAGTCATCTGATGCCAAAATATTTTGTATTCATCACAGTTGTGACTTGTGAAGCTTTAATGACTTTTTGAGCAAGTTGGAACATAAGCAGCAACATGTTGGCCTCCACCAATAGAGTGCTTGAATAGCAATTTGTAAAACATATACTGCCATATGGTCCACATGACTTAACTTTGTTATTTCTGCCTTTTTAAATTCAATCAGGAGATTATTTATATATTTGACATGGATGCTTATTGGTGATCTGAATGCTTTTGTGAATTGGATTGGTGTTGGCTTGGCACAGTTTCCCCCTGTTGTCAAATGTTTTAAAAAAGTTTTCTGGTGTAGCTGTGTTTCACCTTTTGGTAAACATTTTACTGTGTAAAGTATTAAGATTTAAATAATGGCATTAAGAGTAACTATAACTGGTTTTTGTCAGAATATGTTCTGTTTGTGACATGATTACTTACAATAAAAATTTTAATTTATTGAATGAAGTTTATGGATTTTAGCAAAAATTAAATGTTCGAGCCCTTTGTTGCAATAATTTCTCTCTGCTGGTTGATCAATGCGGTGAATGAAACATAATTCTAATCATTTTTCACATACAATTGTTGGTCACAACTCACAAGTGAAGTTTAACCAAAGAGGTAAGCTGTAGGAGCTTGACAATATGTTTGACATAATGGCAAAGTTGTTAATTTAATTGTAACAATTTATCAATAACTTCATTCTTTAAAAAATTGTAATTTCATATATTCTTTATTAAAAATAAGAACAAAAAACATCTTTATTTGTAAGTTAATACAAATTTGACAGACATGATAGCCACAGGAGCTCAATATACAATTACAAATAAAAACTTTCAATTACAATTATGCAGACAAGCTACATTGCAAATAAAAAGCCCCGATTCAAGAATCAAATATAAATTAGTTTAGTCCAAATTTTATACTAATAACGTCTTCATCTGAAGAACGTTCTTTACGCATAGTAGGTCGTTTTATCGCTTCTATCAAATCCGTTGACCATTCTAATAGGAAACTTTTTACTAGAAAATACAGAAATGGAATCACACTAAATATATTTATTACTTTTGTCCTAAATTATAAATTCTTAGGGCAACTGCCGTTCAATATAAGAGACGTTCTAAACATGGATCTCGCATACAATTCAAGGCAAGAAACTATAAAACCCGTAAAATTATATTTGACGAACGTATTTTACAACAAAACTGTTTCTCACCTCATATGCTTGGTATTCTATCCGATGGCATTAAAAATTTTGTCCATAAGTGAATTTAAATTCGTCAAATTTTCGAAAAACAACTCTTCATAATACTAATCTATATACAATCTGGCCAGTTTATCTGGCTGGAGTAATGGCGGACGCAAAAGATGCGCACTTGAGAACTGGGTACAAGTAGGGGACAGATTTTTCGCTGAGTGGCGCTTCTGTATGTATCTATTCTGTGATAAACACAGCACGTTCTTTTGAATCTTTTCCAGGAAGTACTGCGTAAAGGCGATCTCCACTTGACGATTTTTATGACGATCGTCTTAAAAATTCGCTGCGCCACATGCGCAGTACGAAATAAATATCGTCAACTAAATTGTCAAGCGCTCGACGAAAAGTAGAAACTGTTGTGACTTGTGAAGCTTGAATGACTTTTTGAGCAAGTTGGAACATCAGCAGCAGCATGTTGGTCCACCAATAGAGTGCTTGAATAGCAATTTGTAAAACATATACTGTCATATGGTCCACATGACTTAACTTTGTTATTTCTGCCTTTTTAAATTCAATCAGGAGATTATTTATACATTTGACATAGATGCTTATTGATGATGTGAGAAGTGAACATAAAAAAGCTTCCCGAATGCTTTTGTGAATTGGATTGGTATTGGCTTGGTACAGTTTCCCCCTGTTGTCAAATGTTTTAAAAAAAGTTTTCTGGTGTATCTGTGTTTCACCTTTTGGTAAACATTTTACTGTGTAAAGTATTAAGATTTAGATAAAGGCATTACGAGTAACTATAACTTGTTTTTGTCGCATTAAGTTCTGTTTGCGGCATGATTATTTACGATAAAAATTTTAATTTATTGAATGAAGTTTATGGATTTTAGCAAAAATTGTTCAAGCCTTTTGTTGCAATAATTTCTCTCTGCTGGTTGATCAATGTGGTGAGTCAAACATAATTCTAATCATTTTTCACATACAATTGTTAGTCACAACTCACAAGTGAAGTTTAACCAAAGAGCTAAGCTGTAGGAGCTTGACAATATGTTTGACATAATGACAAAGTTGTTGATTTAACTGAAACAATTTATCAATAACTTCATTCTTTAAATAATTGTTATTTCATATATTGTTTATTAAAAGTAAGACAACAAAAAACCTCTTTACTTGTAAGTTAATACAAATTTGACACACATGATAGTCACAGGAAGTCAATATACAATTTCAAATAAAAACTTTCAATTACAATTATGCAGACAAGATACATTGCAAATAAAAAGCCCCGATTCAAGCATCAAATATAAATTAGTTTAGTCCATATTCTATACTAATAACGTCTTCATCTAAAGAACTTTCTTTACGCACAGTAGGTCGTTATATCGCTTCTAACAAATCCATTGACCATTCTAATCGGAAACTCTTTACTAGAAAATACAGAAATGGAACCACACTAAATATATTTATTATCTTTGTCCTAAATTATAAATTTTTAGGGCAACTGCCTTTCAATATAAGAGACGTTCTAAAAATGGATCTCACATACAATTCAAGGCAAGAAACTATAAAACCCGTAAAATTATATTTGACGAACGTATTTTCCAACAAAACTGTTTCTCACCTCATATGCTTGGTATCCTATCCGATGGCATTAAAAATTTTGTCCGTAAGTGAATCTACATTCGTCAAATTTTCGAAAAATAACTCTTCATAATATTAATCTATATACATTCTGGCCAGTTTTTCTGGCTGGAGCAATGAACTCCATAACAACTGGAAGGCTAACTTGGCCGCCATCTTTGAAGCCTGCATGATCGCCGCCATTGAGGGTACGGAGGCGAAATCATTGAGTTCTATAAGACCTGGAGGGGAAACGTCCATTGAGTTCTATAATAACTGGAGCGCATTGAGCTCTAAAAGACCTGGAGGGGCAAAGGGGCCTGGACCCCGTGGTCAAAAACATGGCGGTAATGGCGGATTTTGGTTGTCAAAACTTCCACTTTGAGAAAAATTTTTAACATTCGCTCCCTCCCGAATCCGGAACTCTATGACTGCGAAAACAACCACGAAACCGTAAGCATAAAATATTGAAAATAATGCTTCAGGTTTTTGTGAAAAAGACACACACATTTAAATGAGGAAAATCTACGGTAAAATAACGTATATTTTGTCAAGTAATGCTTTAGCTTTATAAGAAATATATATCAAACGGCATTCTTTACACTGTCAATGTGTCGTTAAGCTTTAATGCATAATCCCATGCGCATTACTTGTGTTTTTGACTGTTTATGAACAGCTTGGTGCAACTGTCTTTTTTAAATAGCTGGGTAAATCTTAGTTAAAATGTCCAAAAAGGAGTTAGAAAAAGTTAGCTTACCCCTACGACTTAAGTTGACTGGAAATATATTATAAGTAGGTATGTAATTTTTTTGAGTTTTTTTTGGTAGGATTGATTCTGGGTGTCTTATAAAGTATTATGATATTCTGATAAATCTACTGAGAACTTATGAGGAAAATATCTTGAACTAGGAGAGCAAAAGAACGAAATTCAGAAATTCTATCATGTTGCTAGTTCTGTTTTGAGCCAAGATATTAGAAACTGGATTGTCATTGACAACCATGGATGTACTACTGAACAGAACTACATTAATTTCCCATTGAAAATAAGATTTCTTAAATTAAAGTGCATTGGCTTCTCTGACGTAACACTTTTCTTATTGCTGCATGAAGGCAAACCTGTTTAAATAATTATAATGTAGGTGAAGATATTTAGCATGTTGCATAATTGTTATTGTACAGTCATTATTCATAATATTATGGCCTTGTGTAATGTATGTCAAGAAGAACGTATTAATTCTCAAAAATGCTAACCTTCTTGAACTAGTTTTCTCTTGTGCCCTTACCAATTGCAGTTACCTATACTATTTTTTTTAGGTTCAAACAACTTGACAAACTTTTGAATTTTACATTATGCCTTTGAATTTTTCTTTTTGTCTTTTGGTAAAAATATCAGTGAATGACTTAAAAATCAAGTTTATCTAAAATAGTATTTTGTACAAAGTAACTATACATAATTGGATAAGTCTCATGTTGAAGGCAGATGTGGCTTCTTTTACTAGATTGCTATTCTTATTCTTTTAAATGATATCGTAATTCTTCAAAAGACATAAAAAGTTCTTTGCCATCAATTTTTGCTTCTTCCACATTCAACTTCATTGCAACCAATGCATCTTATGTGAATTTTAATCACCTGGAATTGAAAACATATGGATTTTGTCAGATGATGCAGTACTGTATTTAATGTTTCATGCATGTCATGATAAGCTTTTCTTGAGCAAATATTTCAAGGTAGGAGCAAAATTTGGCACATTATTGAACAAAGTAGTTTTTATCTTGATTTTGATGTACTAACCTGTTTACTACACTGTGTAACAAACAATTCATTTACAGAAACACCAAATGGCATTTATAAAACTTTTAGCATAAAGCAAACCTTTACACACCATCATGCTTGTCCAAATCTGTCAAATTGTCCAGGCTAGCTGTTTAATACAGGTAATTTTTATTGTACGACATGTACCAAAGAGCTCATTAATTAATCCTGCACTGCATTTGATTTCAATACAGCTCTGTCCTTAATATTTGCTTCATATTTTCAGAAAAATATCATGAAAAAATCCTCCATTTCAACTCAGTTGAAACAAGGAGTTTTAAGATATGCATATCTCGATAAGAACTGGTTGCTTTGCCTCGTCTAGCAATCGATTAAGTAAAGAACAAATAAGACTGGATAAACATAACTTAAATTATAACTTAGGAGTAAAAACATTCACAAAATATATGCCATCACACTTCAAGTATTGACTTAAAACAAAACACTGAACACTTTAAATAGTAAACAATCTACGTTGCATACCGGTGTCATGAAATGTTTCCTTTTCTGGCATTACTTCAGCATCCGTACACCAAACAAGTTTGCAGCATGTTTTAAAGATAAAATTTCTAAAGTTTTTGTGCTTGGCATTGATATTTTATATAATCGCAATTGTGGTTGTCAAATCCGGGTGGGCGAAAAAAATTTCATTTTATGAGCCCGCGTCTTTCCGCTGACTTTGACAACCAAAATCCGCCATGTTTTTGACCACGCGGCCGCGCGCTGATAATTTATAGTAATTTTGTTGACGTTTCCCCTCCAGGTCTTATAGAACTCAATGCTGGAGCGGCTATCTTTACTGGGGCGAGGTCGCCAAAAAAATGGCGGCTAACGGACGTATTTCCGCTGAAATGATCGCTTTGCAGAAAATTAATATTCTCGACCTCCCCCGGATTGATGTTATTGATTTTCCCGCCTTCAGTTGAAAATTTCAAATGCAATTGCGAGCAGTATGATAAATAAACAATATTATTCAAGGCCAAAACAATATTTTTTTCAAAAATGCCTAATCGATGTTCAATCGTAGAATGTCGTAATGTTGACAACACGAAGGACATCGCTTTTCACAGGTGAGTTATTCGCTTATTTTGTTTGTTCCTTAAAGATTGAATCGGCATTTATACAATTGAAAGCCCCAAAATCTGTTAGGCCTTATGAAAAAACATTCTCTTAAATACTGCATACACTGATGTTTTCCTGTGTGTTTTTTTACAAAATTCAACAATTTTTTTTATTTATTTGTTGAATCAACGCATGAAGCAATAAATTTACTAATCTATTTCAAATAGTTTTCCTGACGAAGAAAAAAACCCTGCACTTTTTTCGGAATGGGTAAATAGTATAAAGAAATGGTCGCCTCTCACAGTTCTAACTAAGTGGAGCAGAGTTTGCTCAGATCATTTTTCCGATAGCATGAAGAGAACAACAGGTAACAAAGTGTGTCTAGAAGATAGTGCCGTGCCCACATTATTTCAACAGGTGCAGGATGTTGAATGCACGGAGAGCACTGAAAAGGTGAGTGGTCATTTTTCTATTCATGATCACTCATATTGTCTTAAGTCTCCCAGGAGACTGAAAAGACAATTGGAAGATGTTATAGACCGGGCAGAGTCTTATAGAAAGAGGTTAAAAGTGTCTAATAAGAAAAAAAGTAGACTGAAAAAGAAGGTAAATGATTTATTGTCAATCATTGATTGCCTTAAAGATGATAAAATGATCAGCTCTGATCAAGCTGAACTTCTTAATGCTTCACTATCTGGCGTTCCTGAAGATATTTTGAGTCGTTTAGTGGCAAACACTCAGGGTAAACAAGGTGCTCAATACCCCCCAGAATTGCAAGCTTTTGCACTAACTTTGAAATTTTAATCGCCTAAGGCTTATGATTATGTTCGTGAGAAGTTTAATTTAGCCTTACCTCATCCAAGAGTAATTCGATCTTGGTATAATTCCATGGATGGTGACCCTGGTTTCACCAAAGATGCCTTGAATGCTTTGAAAGTGAAGGTTCAAGAAACAAAGAAAGGCAAGGAAGTCATATGTGCATTGATGCTGGATGAAATGTCAATCCATAAACACGTAGAATGGGATGGTCAAAAAGTTTGTGGTTATGTTGACCTTGGTACTGGGATTGATGATGATTCACTCCCTGAAGCAAAAGAAGTTTTGGTATACAAGGCTGTTGCTCTAGATTCATCCTGGAAAGTACCAGTTGGTTACTTCTTGGTATGGCCTCACTGCAGAAGTAAAAGCAAATCTAACCAAAGTGTTTGATGCAGTTGCATGATGTTGGTGTTAAAGTTGGAAGTTTAACGTGTGATGGTCCATCCACACACCTTGCAATGATGAAGTTGCTTGGAGTGAAACTTTCACTTAATGATTTTCAAGCATATTTCTTACATCCATCTGATTTAATGTTGAAAATTCATGCATTTTTAGATCCTTGTCATATGATCAAGCTTTTTGTCATTTAGTCATCTTTAGCAGAAATACAAAAAGATTATATATTGTTTTTTTTCTCAAAACTTCATTAAAAGAAAATTCTTATTGCAAATATGTTGTGTAACTTAGTCTGATTGCACTAACATACATTACCACATTGACATAAATATGACTATAGAGTACTCTTTAAGAGTTAAGTAAAGAACAAATTCTGAAGAATCAAGACATCTTGAGATGTAAAAATGTGAATCAAAACAAGACGTGAACTGTAAAATTTCGATTTATTTCAAAGTCATCCACAGACAGAATGATAATCGAAACCATGCATACACATATATTAAGAAATGGTTTGTTAACACGGGACTTAAGGCTAGCAGAGAATTACAACTCTTCTCTTAAATTACAATACACTCATTCCACCAGTCTGGTCTCTTGTTTCAATTCATCCTTTTAAAATATGACAGCTCTTCCAACTCCGCTTTCGTAAATATCAAACTATTTAATTTCTATTGCTTGACTTTCGTTACTTAATTCATGCATTGTAAATATATATGTGTATGCATGGTTTGGATTATCATTCTGTCTGAGGATGACTTTGAAATAAATCGAAATTTTACAGTTCACTTCGCGTTTTGTTTTTATTCACATTTTTTCATCTCGAGATATCTCGTTTCTTCAGAATTTGTTTTTTACTATCTTTTTTAAATTGTCGGCTGGACATGGCTTTAAGACTTTCTCCTTACCTTGAAAAGAGACCACATCGTCCACATCGTCCACATGTACGTACATTAGACACGACGTTTAAAAACGTTCAAACGCAGCCAACAAAGAGTTCTTTCGTACATAGTTTATAATTAATAGCTTTCCTCGTAGGAGCCGATAACTGGAAAGCTAGGTTACGAATTGTAGGTTTTTATCGTGATTTTCATCAAAAAATTGCTTGCCGAATCCCAAATACACACATACATTTTCCTCACTCTTTCATCAGGAGGGAGTGGGAAATTGTGACATTTTCGGAAAAGCGGTCAATTTCGGTAAATCTCAGCGGCAACGGAAGAAATCCGCCATTTTTTTGGCGTCACCAGATATCTAAGGCCGCGCTTGAGATAGCCGCTCCAGTTATTATAGAACTCAATGGAAACGTCAACCAAATTACTATAAATTATCAGCGCGCGGCCCATTGAGTTCTATAATAACTGGAGGGGAAACGTCAACAAAATTAGTATAAATTATTAGCGCGCGGCCGCGTGGTCAAAAACATGGCGGATTTTGGTGGTCAAAGTCAGCGGAGAGACGCGGGCTCATGAAATAAAATTTTTGTCGCCCACCCTGATTTGACCACCACAATTGCGAGAATAGAAAATATCAAAACTTTTTATTTTCCTAACATAAACACTTTTTTAAAACTTTATTTATTAAATTGCCAACTTCTGTGGTTTGCGGACGCTGAAATAGCGACAGAAAAGGAAACATTTCATGACTCCGGTAAGTAGCACAGTATTAGTTTTACTATTTTGTTTTTAACACGATACTTGAAGAGTGTTTCTACTACTAAGTTTTAATTTAAAGTTATTTTGGTCCAGTCTTGTTTGTTCTTCACTTAATCGCTCGCCAGACGTGGCGAAGCTGTCAATTTTTATCGAGTTTTGCATCCATCTTGTATCATGATCAAGGCATCAAGCTAAACTCTCCTGATTTGAATTGAGTTTACCTCCCAAAAATGGGGCATAATTTGTTCATGTTTTTTTTGAAAAGATGAAGGGAAAGTTTACAACAGAGTTGTTTTGAAATTGAATGCAGAGCCATGAAAAATTAATGAGAACTATGGTATATGTTGTATAATAAAAATAACTATTAAACTGTTTGCCTGCTCAATTTGACTGACTGTATAGTGTAGACAATTATAATGCGTTTGGAAAGTTGGATTTATGCAAACAATTTTAAAGTACTACTTAGCGTTTCTGTAAATGAAATATTTATTGTTATAGTAAACAGGTTACTACTTCAAAACCAAGATAAAAGTAGTGTGTTGAACAATGTGCTAAGATTTGTTTCTACCTTGGAATTTTTGTTCAACAGTAGCTTATGATTATATCATTAATATGCATGAAAAATTAAACATATTATTGTCTCATCTCATCAAATCCATAATTGGTATGATTCCAGTCTATTTCCAGATGATCCACAAATTCACATTGGATGCATTGGTTACAATGAAGTTGAATGTAGAAGAAGCAAAAATAGATGGCAAAGAAATTCTTTGTGTCTTATGAAGAATTAGTAGAAATCAATAAAAAGAACTCTTTAAACAAATTGTAAACAAATTTAAATTTTCTCATGGTCAAGCAACCTAGTCAAAGAAGCAAAGTCTGTCTTCAACATGTGGCCTTTCCAATTATTTAGTTTTTTTGTACAAAATACTATTTTCGAGAAACTTGATTTGTAAGTCTTTCATTAATATTTTTTTACCAAGAGATAAAAGGAACTAATTCAAAGGCTTGATGTAAAATACAAAGATTTAACAAGTTGTTTATCATTTAATTCCCAAATGTTAGTTTGTACATATAAATAATTAGTATTGGTAGCTGTAAGATGTTTAAGCAAAACAGAAGAGTAGTAGTGCTCGAAGGGGTTAGCATTTTTGAAAAATTATATCTTGTTCATGACATATATTACACAATTCCAAAAAACTGTAAGTGATGCACAATAATATCTATAGAACTTGATAAATTTCTTCACCTACACTGTCAAATAACTATTTTGCCTTCATGCAGCAATAGACAGTGTTTTTGTCAGAGAAATGCACTTTAGTTTCCAAGTTTGTAATTTCAATGGAAAATTAATGTAGTTCTGTTCAGTAATAGATCCAAGATTCTGCCAAGCTGTTTACAAAATACAAATTACCAAGCAACAGTGTCATGGTGTTTTGAATTTTTCTTTTGTAGCTCTTCTAGTTCAACATACTTTCTTTATGAGTTTTCAGTAGATTTATCAGGTAATGACAATACACTTATGATACTTAACCATGGTAAATTTTTAGTTGACTTATGTCGTAGGACTGAAGCAAACATTTTCTCGCTTCCTTAGGAGCATTTTTACACAGATTTATCCATTTGAAGCCAAAAAAATAGGTGCACCAAACTGTTTACAAACAGTCAAACACACAAAAGCATGAAATAATGTATAGGTTTGACGAGATTGACAGGTCTAGTAAAGAATGCCGTTTGATTTTCACTTTTAAAAGGCTAAAATGTCATAAAATAACTTAAATGTTACATCCAAAATATGCGTTTCTCTACCGTCGATTTTCTTTATTTTGATGTGTGTCTGTACTGTGTTTTTCACGCAATGCTGAAGCATTATTTTCACATGATATGCTGTCGGTATCGTAATTGTTTTTTTTTCTCACTTGTTTTCTTTCATACAAACAGTATTAGAAAACAGGAGGGAGTGAATATTGAAAAAAATTTTTGAAGTGGAAGTTTTGACCACCAAAATCCGCCCAGTGAACTCGACATTTGAATAACTGGAATGATAACCGAAGCCAAAAATATATTTGTCGTCATCATTCGTCATCACACGTCAGGCTCTAGTCTCTCGCGTGTTCATTTTAATTTTTTATAATCATTTGTCCCTTGGTAATGGTAGAGTTCGGATCATGATCAGAGCGTAAAATTAACGAAATTTTTGGAATGAAAAGGTTCGCGGAAAGTGAATCAAAGTGATAAATCGAGAAGCAAGGTGAGGTGAACTTAGTCGATCTGCTCTTACGCTGCGGTTTTCCTTTAAAACATATCAAAGTTTTTAAGGATATTCAATTATTGATGTCGAGATGACAACCATTAAGCATTTCAAGCACTATCAAAATCGATGAAAAATACAATCGCTCTGTAAAAAGTAAAAATGCGAGTTATAGACTCGATATTTTTTATGAAACTGGATATTCAAGTTTCTTTTTCCTTCGGAAGAACAGATCTTTAAATCCACTGAAATGACAAAAAAAGACAAACACTGTCTGACACGGTTTGAAAATTTTCCTTCCGATGTAAGAAAAATTTTTGCTCGAATATTTTCTCGACATATTTTCTTATTGTGTTGTCTTTTTAGCATAAAGTGTAATTTTCAGTTGGCTTTTCCTCGTTACAAGTTGTAAGTTACAACGAACTCACTGTAGTAAAGTTTCAGCTGTAAAAAATAACCTTTTGCGAAGAATTGGCCTCGTGTGTTGTTTGTCGTGATGCTGTTTATATGTTTATGCTGTCGTGATGTTTATTTATATTGGCCGTTTATGTTTGGCACTCAGGGGAATGAAACTGACGTACAAACCGCGTGAATATTCGACTTTGAAGGACTGGAACTGACGTACAAACCGCGCAAGAGACTAGGACTTTGGCTTCAATTTTATATCTATAAAATGTATTGTCGTTATCGTTCCAGATATATATATATATATATATATATATATATATATATATATATATATGGGTTCACTCATTGAGCTCTATAAAACCTGGAGGGGCAAAGGGGCCTGGACCCCGTGGTCAAAAACATGGCGGTAATGGCGGATTTTGGTGGTCAAAACTTCCACTTTAAAATTTTTTTTCAATATTCACTCCCTCCTGATTTCTAATACTGTTTATATGAACGATAACAAGTGAGAGAAAACAACAATTACGATACCGACAGCATATCATGTGAAAATAATGCTTCAGCATTGCGTGAAAAACACAGTACAGGCACATCAAAATAAAGAAAATCGACGGTAGAGAAACGCATGTTTTGGATGTAACATTTAAGTTATTTTATGACATTTTAGCCTTTTAAAAGTGAAAATCAAACGGCATTCTTTACTAGACCTTCAATCTCGTCAAACCTATACATTATTTCATGCTTTTGTGTGTTTGACTGTTTGTAAACAGTTTGGTGCACTTATTTTTCTTGCTTCAAATGGATAAATCTGTGTAAAAAATGCTCCTAAGCAAGCGAGAAAACGTTTGCTTCATTCCTACGACATAAGTCAACTAAAAATTTACCATGAATAAGTATCATAAGTGTATTGTCATTACCTGATAAATCTACTGAAAACTCATAAAGAAAGTATGTTGAACTAGAAGAGCTACAAAAAAGAAAAAATTCAAAACACCATGACACTGTTGCTTGGTAATTTGTATGTTGTAAACAGCTTGGCAGAATCTTGGATCTATTACTGAACAGAACTACATTAATTTTCCATTGAAATTACAAACTTGGAAACTAAAGTGCATTGGTTTCTCTGACAAAAACACTGCCTATTGCTGCATGAAGGCAAAATAGTTATTTGACAGTGTAGGTGAAGAAATTTATCAAGTTCTATAGATATTATTGTGCATTACTTACAGTTTTTTGGAATTGTGTAATATATGTCATGAACAAGATATAATTTTTCAAAAACGCTAGCCCCTTCCAGCACTACTACTCTTCTGTTTTGATTAAATATCTTACAGTTACCAATACTAATTATTTATATGTACAAACTAACATTTGGGAATTAAATGATAAACAACTTGTTAAATCTTTGTATTTTACATCAAGCCTTTGAATTAGTTCCTTTTATCTCTTGGTAAAAAAATATTAATGAAAGACTTACAAATCAAGTTTCTCGAAAATAGTATTTTGTACAAAGAAACTAAATAATTGGAAAGGTCACATGTTGAAGACAGACTTTGCTTCTTTGGCTAGGTTGCTTGACCATGAGCAAATTTAAATTTGTTTACAATTTGTTTAAAGAATTATTTTTATTGATTTCTACTAATTCTTCATAAGACACAAAAAATTTCTTTGCCATCTATTTTTGCTTCTTCTACATTCAACTTCATTGTAACCAATGCATCCGATGTGAATTTGTTAATCACCTGGAATCATACCAAGTATGGATCTAATGAGATGAGAAAATAATATGTTTAATTATTCATGCATATTAATGATATAATCATAAGCTACTGTTGAACAAAAATTTCAAGGTAGAAACAAATCTTAGCACATTGTTCAACACACTGCTTTTATCTTGGTTTTGAAGTAGTAAACTGTTTACTATAACAATAAATACTTCATTTACAGAAACGCTAAGTAGTACTTTAAAATTGTTTGCATAAATCCAACTTTCCAATCCCATTATAATTGTCTACACTATACAGTCCAGTCAAATTGAGCAGGCAAACAGTTTAATAGTTATTTTTATTATACAACATATACCATAGTTCTCGTTAATTTTGCATGGCACTGCATTCAATTTCAACACAACTCTGTTGTAAACTTTCCCTTCATCTTTTCAAAAAAAACATGAACAAATTATGCCCCATTTTTGGGAGGTAAACTCAATTCAAATCAGGAGAGTTTAGCTTGATGCCTTGATCATGATACAAGATGGATGCAAAACTCGATAAAAATTGACAGCTTCGCCACGTCTGGCGAGCGATTAAGTGAAGAACAAACAAGACTGGACCAAAATAACTTTAAATTAAAACTTAGTAGTAGAAACACTCTTCAAGTATCGTGTTAAAAACAAAATAGTAAAACTAATACTGTGCTACTTACCGGAGTCAAGAAATGTTCCCTTTTCTGTCGCTATTTCAGCATCCGCAAACCACAAAAGTTGGCAGTTTAATAAATAAAGTTTTAAAAAAGTGTTTATGTTAGGAAAATAAATAGTTTTGATATTTTCTATTCTCACAATCGTGGTGGTCAAATCAGGGTGGGCGAAAAAATTTTATTTCATGAGCCCGCGTCTCTCCGCTGACTTTGACAACCAAAATCCGCCATGTTTTTGACCACGCGGCCGCGCTCTAATAATTTATAGTAATTTTGTTGACGTTTCCCGTCCAGTTATTATAGAACTCAATGGGTTGGATACATTGAGTTCTATAATAACTAGAGCGGCTATCTCAAGCGCGGCCTTAGATATCTGATGACGCCAAAAAAATGGCGGATTTCGTCCTTTGCCGCTGAGATTTACCGAAACTGACCGCTTTTCCGAAAATTTCACAATTTCCCACTCCCTCCTGAGGAAAGAGTGAGGAAAATGTATGTGTGTATTTGGGATTCGGCAAGCAATTTTTTGATGAAAATGAATGTAAAAACCTTAAATTCATAACAGCGAGTCAACTGTGGTTGTCAGTTATCTGCTCCTACGAGGATGCATTTATAACTATCGACGAAAGACCGATATGTCGGCTACACATGTATGAATGCAGATGTGCGTCGTTTTCTTACCAGCGTCAAACTTATTTGATCGATTAAACTCTTTAGTCTATACAAAAAAGTATATCATAGTTCATCTCCACGGTTCACGAGAGAGAAGTTAGCTTATTTGTTATCATTGCTATTTTGCTTCTTTTCATGCAATGGGCAATGGCTTTTTTCGCCACAATTGTAGGATTTTTACTTGTTTCTTTAAAAAAGTACATATTAAATCTCTGGATATTTACGGATTTTCTGTAATTGAGTTTCATATGAAATTTCAAAAAGACTCAAGTCTGCATAGGTTTGGTAAATGAAAACAAACAATATTGTATAGAAATTACTTTAAGTAACCTTTTTGTGATGTTCTGAAGTGCAACTGCATCAAATACTTGTGAAGTTGTAGCACATTTTGATTTTGTTGTATTGATATATGAATTGGGCAAAATGCAAATAATCATCAAAACACTTATGCTTCCAATGGTGTTTATAATTCATTTGTAGTTTTAATACTTCTACCTTTCTTTTCACTTTGTTTTGTTTTTCCTATATTTGCAATATAAGTGCACTATAATTTGAATGATTAACACAGTTTTCACCTCAATAATAAATTTCATAAGCAGTTGGTAGTGCATTTTGTTCTCTGAGTATCCACATCTGGTGTTTTGTTCATACAAGAATGATGAAGTGCAAGTAGATATGTCATAGCAAGGCAATAAAACCAAATGAATTACATTCCTATAGTGTACTTTTATGCTAGAAGCTTAAAAGCTTTTAGAAATTAGAAAGTTATTGGATTATATTACCTCTATATCATCAATCTCATGATAAGAAATAAGAAGCAAAAATTTGTAGAAAAGCTTTGAAAAGTGAAAAACTTTTCTTTAAAAAGCAGCAATAATGCATATGATAAATCTCCATTCTGTACTCTAATAGGTAAATAAGCTCAAATTTTTCTTGAAGAAATATAAGAAATATATAAGAAATATACAGTACAGTAACTTTAAAGGTTTCATCACTGAATCTTTAATGCTTCAGTATAGTGCATTAGATATTAGTAACATTCAAACAACACTCAACTAAAATATTTTGATAAAGATATGACATGATTTAAACATTAAGTTACATAAAACCCAATGGCTTATACAGTTTGAAGCTTCACATCTGCATCGAGTCATCATCAATCTCAGTACAAATGTTTACATAGACACAAACTTTATGGCCTTCCATTTTACATGTTTGTGAATTGACATTTCATTAAGCATCAAAACACACACAACCTTCTTGCCATCTTTCTTTGGATCATGAACTTTAACTTCAAAGCATTCAAGGCATCCTTAGTGAATCCATTGTCTCCATCCATAGAATTTGACCACAATCAAATTAAATAACTCTGGATAGGGCAGACAATAAATCAATTATCCTTACAGCATTATCATTTTTTAAGACTCTGCCTGGTCAATAACATCTTCCAGTCATCTTTACTCCTTGATCTACTCGTTGTCAGCAAATAGAACATAACAAGCTCTGCTCCAAATCATGGGTACCGTTGGGGCTGATCATTTCTTTTTGATACCAGATCACATTTTTGATACAGAGCAAAATGTGTGCAGTGTCTTTTTTGCTTTAGGGAAACTATTTTGCAAATAGATGGGTAAATTTACGATTTCATGCATTAACAAATGACAGAAAAGTATACAGAATTTTATAAGAATTTTACAAGTATACAGAGTTTTATAAACAGGAAAACATCAGTATATTTGGCGTTCAAGTCAGTCTTAAAAAATACGATCTTTAATATGTATTTTATGGCTTTTCAAATGCATGTATAATTGCTTTTCAATCGTTGGCGGACTAACAAAACAAACAACTACCTCACCTGTGAGAAGCGATATGTTCCTTTTTGTGGAAACTACGACATCCAACAATTGAACGATTGAAGTGTTGGCATTATAAAAGAAATGCCAAAAAAGAAACGTCACAGATTATGGAACTAACGATATCCATATTCTGTGATATCGTGTTTGTTTTTGAAAAATTCTTTATAATTTACTACAGACACCAGGGGGAGGTCGAGAATATTATTTTTCTGCAAAGCGATCATTTCAGCGGAAATACGTCCGTTGGCCGCCATTTTTTTGGCATCCTCGCCCCAGTAAAGTTAGCCGCTCCAGTTATTATAGAACTCAATGTATAGAACTCAATGGTTCACTGAATCCGCCATTGCCGCCATGTTTTTGACCACGAGGCCCAGGCCCCTTTGCCCCTCCAGGTCTTATAGAGCTCAATGTTTTGACCACTGGGTCCAGGCCATTGAGCTCTATAAAACCTGGAGGGGCAAAGGGGCCTGGACCCCATGGTCAAAAACATGGCGGTAACAGTGAACTCTACAACAACTGGAAGGCTAACTCATTATAAACAAACCTAGACTTGTTTGAAGCCACATAGAAGCTGATTTGCCGCTTCGCGTGCATCTCGTGTGGACTGTTTTATTTGCGTGACGGATTGTTTTGCAAAAACTGCTAACTTGGGAATAGAATGCTAGCCTAAATGCTTTATTTTTTTCAAAACCGTTAGCACAATTTGGTTATTAATGTGTTAAGATGCATTGTGGACGTTCCAATACATGTTTTGTATACGTAACGCTGTATTATATAAAACATAAAAGGGAGAACTTGCTTCGACATATGAATTTCTCATTTGTCGTCGAAAGACCAAAAATTTAAGATAAAACTGATAACAGGTAGTCTGTATCTTTGAATGCTGTGCAAAATACACACAATCCACTTAATATAACATGTTTCATAACAATTTCATTGCTTTCAAAGTTAGACTTGCTTTGTAAGAATTTCACATGGTCTTTTTGTAATGTGCGAAAGTGATGATTTGAAATTTTGAATTGTGGGTGATTGTTGGTTCTTGTCATTTACTTCTCCCACTTCTTAAGAACTGGTGGAAGATTTGACATGCATTCATATTTGTGTATTGAGCATTTTATCAGCAAGCTCATGCTTATAAATAAATAGCCAAGTGTACAACATGACAAGTATTGCTAATATAACCTGCTTTACATAAATGCTAAGAAGCAACCCTCATCCTCAGTGGTTTGAAACAGGGTTTTAAAATGATTATAAAGCAAGCAAAGCTATATCATGTATCAAAATTTTATAGTATATCATATTGATTGAAAAATTAGTTATTTCTTGTAATCCTCTAATGATAAATGTATATGTAATATAATAAATTTTAGGATGTTTGTTTAAAATGTTTGGTCATATTTGTGAAAATGTATGATGATTCTATAATATTAGACTAGTAATCTTTTTCATACTTGTATTACATTACAATTTTTACTTAAGTGTTTCAAAAGTTATGAATATGGAGTGTCAATTGTGTTTTTGTCTTTTTTTTAAGTGGGTATTGACCCTTTTGTCTCTTTAATGGTGCAATTAATAATAACACAATAATATGGCATGACAGTTTTTTTTAAAACGAACTCAAAATATTTTTTTGCTAACTTTTTGAAATATTTTGCAAAGTGTTTTTCTTTTTGTTTATGCTCTGAACTTTCAAAAAGGACTGGGGCGAGCTAATTTTGCTCGGAAACACTAAAATTACCGAAAAACAGCGTTTTTTGCCCTGACAGCTTCATTTTCACAGATTCAAACAATATTATAAGGCTAGGCAAGTGCATTTTACATCCTTTTAATGAAAAAAAACGAGGGGTGTCAGTTTTGTATTCAAGTTATAAGACATGTTTTCACGTGTCAAAACAAAGTTCGCTTTTCATCCTTCTAAAAAGAAGCTTAAACATGTACAAATGTCGTTCAAACTTGTTTTATATTAAAGTCCAAACACTGTTTAAGGTTTTTAGACATTAAGCTGGCTTAAAGACCACTGTTTTTTGCAAAAAATCCGGCAATTTCGAAGTGATGTATTTCGCCTTCGTACCTTCAATGGCGGCGCTCATGCAGGCTTCAAAGATGGCGTCCAAGTTAGCCTTCCAGTTGTTATGGAGTTCATTGGGCGGTAATGGCGGATTTTGGTGGTCAAAACTTCCACTTTAAAAATTTTTTTCAATATTCACTCCCTCCTGATTTCTAATACTGTTTGTATGAACGAAACAAGTGAGAAAAAAAACAATTACGATACCGACAGCATATCATGTGAAAATAATGCTTCAGCATTGCGTGATAAACACAGTACAGACACACATCAAAATAAAGAAGATCGACGGTAGAGAAACGCATATTTTGGATGTAACATTGAAGTTATTTTATGACATTTTAGCCTTTTAAAAGTGAAAATCAAACGGCATTCTTTACTAGACCTGTCAATCTCGTCAAACCTATACATTATTTCATGCTTTTGTGTGTTTGACTGTTTGTAAACAGTTTGGTGCACCTATTTTTCTTGCTTCAAATGGATAAATCTGTGTAAAAATGCTCCTAAGGAAGCGAGAAAATGTTTGCTTCAGTCCTACGACATAAGTCAACTGAAAGTTTACCATGGATACGTATCATAAGTGTATTGTCATTACCTGATAAATCTACTGAAAACTCATAAAGAAAGTATGTTGAACTAGAAGAGCTACAAAAAGAAAAAATTCAAAACACCATGACACTGTTGCTTGGTAATTTGTATTTTGTAAACAGCTTGGCAGAATCTTGGATCTATTACTGAACAGAACTACATTAATTTTCCATTGAAATTACAAACTTGGAAACTAAAGTGCATTGGTTTCTCTGACAAAAACACTGTCTATTGCTGCATGAAGGCAAAATAGTTATTTGACAGTGTAGGTGAAGAAATTTATCAAGTTCTATAGATATTATTGTGCATTACTTACAGTTTTTTGGAATTGTGTAATATATGTCATGAACAAGATATAATTTTTCAAAAATGCTAACCCCTTCGAGCACTAATACTCTTCTGTTTTGCTTAAACAACTTACAGCTACCAATACTAATTATTTATATGTACAAACTAACATTTGGGAATTAAATGATAAACAACTTGTTAAATCTTTGTATTTTACATCAAGCCATTGAATTAGTTCCTTTTATCTCTTGGTAAAAAATATCAATGAAAGACTTACAAATCAAGTTTCTCGAAAAGACTATTTTGTACAAAGAAACTAAATAATTGGAAAGGTCACATGTTGAAGACAGACTTTGCTTCTTTGACTAGGTTGCTTGACCATGAGCAAATTTAAATTTGTTTACAATTTGTTTAAAGAATTCTTTTTATTGATTTCTACTAATTCTTCATAAGACACAAAGAATTTCTTTGCCATCTATTTTTGCTTCTTCTACATTCAACTTCATTGTAACCAATGCATCCGATGTGAATTTGTGGATCACCTGGAATCATACCAAGTATGGATTTAATGAGATGAGAAAATAATATGTTTAATTATTCATGCATATTAATGATATAATCATAAGCTACTGTTGAACAAAAATTTCAAGGCAGAAACAAATCTTAGCACATTGTTCAACACACTACTTTTATCTTGGTTTTGAAGTAGTAACCTGTTTACTACAACAATAAATACTTCGTTTACAGTATTTATTGTTAACAACAAACGCTAAGTAGTACATTAAAATTGTTTGCATAAATTCAACTT